GGAGGCAACATGGGAAGAATAACGAGAATTATGGTTACCTTGGCCAAGTACTCGTAGCCGTCATCAGACAGCCCCTCAGACGTCGTGACCTGGAGGCCCTCCCTATCTCCGCGGGGTAAGAGGTGGCTCATCATCTCCACAGTGGTGTGGCGGTCCAACAGACTACGCCGACATTAATATCCCACTCCGGAATGAACTTATCCAACGGACCAGAGACATGGTCAAAGCCTCCGTCAGTGAACATCTGGGGACCTCCAGTTCCGCTACCCTCTCCAATGGCAATGTCAACCTCGGGAACTGGAGACACCTGAGGAGGAGTAGACCCAAAAATACGGGGTCGTGGCACATTCCTTGGGAGAACCCCCGACTCCTGCCTTTGGGAGGCATCGGCCATGACCTTGCTCCTGTTCACCCTAATCCTGATTCTCTTAGCTCTGTTCACCTCCATACCTAAACAAAGAATGAAATAGACGGGTAAACAACAAGATATAAATAATGAGAGTCCATGCAATATTTAGTAAAGACTACTGTTTGTTCGTACTAAGGTCGACAATTTTAGTCGGTGGAGCATGGCTCAAGCGAGCCGCAATCAGATTATTCTCCTTTAGTAAAAGGGTTAAGCTCGCGGGACCTTTGAGCAAAAGAGCCAACTTAGCATTTTCCTTGTCATGAGAGAGCTCGGACTCAACGGGCCGACAGACCTCGTCGCTCCACTCGGAAGGAAAGTTCCAAGGATCACCTGAATAAACGTAGAAGAATTTAGACTTCCAATATTTCTTGTCTTTGGAAGAATCTACCAAGGGTTTAGAACATGACCTCGACATAACATAGAAGAGACCTTCGGAACTAGGGTGGTTCTGGAGGCGGTAAATGGAACTGAAGACTCTGGCGTTCGTGGGTATGGGTACTGAAGCCCCGAGGAGGACAAACCCCACGATAATCATCCATGCGTTGGGAGTTAGCTGAGCGGGAAAAATGTTGTAAAAATTCAAGATCTCAATTATGGTCGGATGTAGAGGGAACCTTAAACCGCACTTGAACATGTCTTCGTAAAGACATAGCCATCCAGGAGGAGTTTCGCCAAAGCTACCTTCCTCGGGCTCCGGAATATAAAAATTCCAAGTGTCAGGAATATAATATTTGGCATAGAACCTACGGATGTCATCCTCTAAGAGTTTGGACACGGCCCCATCAATATACACGCTAGCCTTATGGCCACGTACGTGGGGTCGTCAGGCTAAGATTTTGTCATCGCTAGACTCACGGGAATCCATGGACATTTTCAAATCTGAAAATACACCCAGGGACGTAAGTGAATGCGTGGAAACACAAGAAAAATGAGACAAGGTGACAAAGGAGTCCTCGGAAAATTGTTCGAGACTTAGCGGTGAATAAAATCAAAAGAAGGGGGAAAGAGTGTGAGTCCTTAGACTACATGAGCAAATGAGTTAGCTAGTCCTTGGATCACATGAGCAAATGAGTGAATCATTGAAACATGCTTCAAGTAACACTCACTAAGGAACCCTCATTTGGATTGTTACTATTGCCTTTGAGGTAAAATAAATAAATAAAGCTCAAAGTACAAAGGTTGCTAGTAGGGGTGTTCATCGGTCGGTTCGGTCGACCGACCGAACCGAACTAGTAAAACCGAATTAACCGAATTCCTAAATTTTAGAAACCGAACCGACCGAATTAAGGCCTAAAACTGAAGTTTAACCGAACCAAATTGTTCGGTCGGTTCGGTCGGTTAACCAAATTTTTACCAAAAAAAAAATATAATATTATAAATTTATATATTAATATTATATTATAAATTTATATATTAATATTATATTATAAATTTCTATATTATATTATATTTATATAAATTTATAAATATAATATTAATATATATAATATAATATTAATATATAATATAATATATAAATTTATATAAATATATAATATAATATATAAATTTATAATATAATATTAATATATAAATTTATAATATATAATATGATATTATATATGTATATATATTATTCGGTCGGTTCGGCTAATTCGGATATTTTGATGTCCGAAACCGGAACCGACCGAAATAACCGAAAATTAATTTGACTAAAACCGAAAACCGACCGAGTCGAATAAAAACTGAACCGAATTTTTCGGTTCGGTCGGTTTCGGTCAGTTTTTTCGGTTTTAGTCGAATTATGCACACTCCTAGTTGCTAGTCACCTGATAAAATGGAGCTGAAAATTATTTGGAGAAGTCCTTAGCAGCTTCTTGAGTGGCCCTTGGTAGCTTCAAAGTCTTTGGAACAAAGTAAAAGAAGAAGAGAGATCTCTGTAAGCGAGTATTTTAGGGGAAATAAAAGTGACCAAAGAAAAGGAGCTGGCCAAGAAGAAAAATGTGGCTACTTAAATAAAGTTGGCAAGTTAATTCTCTGCCAAAAGAAAAACCTAAGAGGTAGGCAGAACAACTATATATTTGTGTATACATCAAACTACAAAAAGTTGCTACTATGATGATGTTGGAAACTTGAGAAGTCAAATAAAAAAATTAGGCAGTAAAGCTAAGAGCATCTCTTATAAGAGGTTTTGGAACATGTTTGAAATATTAAACCTGTACGTTTTCTATTAGGAGGATGAGCTTTGAGGCTTGAAAATTTAAACCGAGAGCTCACTTCTAAACCTGTAAAATAAAATAAAAAATAAAAGAAGAAAAGAAAAGATTGTTAAGGTGTTTAAGGTGTGTAACACACTTCCTTCATGTTAGTTAATGTGTGTTTCACACACACACACACAAAAGAGAGTGAATGAGCAAAGGCCCACATGTCCCCCACTCCCAACATTTTCTTACGTTTTCCTTTTTTTTTTTTTCTTCCATGGCCCACCCCACTCCCCTTTTGTACATTATTTAGTTCTTTATTTGTTAATAAAATTTTGGTGATGTTTTATTAGTTAAATTATATATTATTTATTAATGTATAAGTTGATATAAAATAATCTAAGAAAAAATTTTTTTCTAAAATTTGCAATAATTCACATATAAACTTTTTAATTTGATATAAAATAATCTAAGAAAAAATTTTATTTCTTCCTTTTAATATGAATTAGAAATTTATATTTATTAATTTTATGTGAAAGTTACAAATTTCATCATCAACTTAGACATAATCTTGTTGAACATATTTGAAAGAGCTTAATTGTAGAAGTAATGTTTGATCAATTCATGAATGTGTAATAAGATATACTTTTATTTTTTCTTATACATAAAATTGATTTCGTTGGATACTAAATTAATTCAAGTTTTATTTTAACGGAAATAACATACATTTACTTCTATCTTTTCCGAGCAATGTTTGTTGGCGTTCATTCTACTTAAAAAAAAAAGTGAAAAAAACTCGGTCATTTTTTTTTTCCAAAAACATACTTACTCATTCTTATACCATAACATTCAATTAATTTAATCTATAATTAATTCTAATTGTATTTTAATTAATAATCTATAATTGGAAATAATGAAATATGGTTATGTATATAATTATATTAATATTTTTTATATGTATCTATGATAAATAATCTAAACATTTAGATTAAATAAAAAAAAGTGTAAGAATATAATATTAATTATAAAAGTAAGTGAGATACATGTGGGGCCCATAAAAAAGAGGTTTATGAGGTTTATTGTTTTATTGGAGGTTTATGTGTGTAGAGGTTTTGGATAATGTGGCATGTTAGAAAGTATAAAATGAGGTTTATGGGGCAGGGTTGTTAAAGTTGCTCTAAGGAGACGAAGGACTGACAGCCCATGGGGCGCTGGAAAAAAAAAATAAAAAATAAAAAATAAAGATAAAGAGTAGAGAAGTTGGGTGACGAAGAGGGTTTAACGCAGTGACGCATACCTCGCTCGGCGTATCCCATATCACGAATTCGAGTCACTGAGAAGAGAATTGGGGAACCAATGTTAATCCTACTGTGTGTAAAAAAAAACAAAAAAAAGTTGGGCTGCCAAAACTGACGCATCAAATGAAATGATGCGATTGGGTTCAGTCGATGCTACCCATAAGGGTAGTACCCACTTGGTGTGGATGTAGCATCTTTTATATTTATTTTATGCAATTGTTACTTGTTTTTGTATTTGTATTAACTTTTTTAATGTTT